AAAAAAAAAAAAAGAAAAATGAAATAGATCTCTATGTAATGATATAGAAAAGTGTCTAGGAAACATTATATTTTAAAAGTTGTGTGATTTTGGCTAAGCCCAGTGGCTCATACCTGTTATTCTAGTACTCTGAGAGGCTGAGGCAAGAGGATTGCTTGTGGTTAGGAGTTTGAGATGAGCCAAACAAGAGTAAGCCCCATCTCTACAAAAACCAGAAAAATTAGCCGGGCATTGTAGCACACATTTGTAGTCCCAGCTACCTGGGAGGCTGAGACAGTAGTACCAGTTGCTTGAGCCCAGGAATTTAAGGTTGCAGTGAACTATGATGATAACCATGGCACTCCAGCCCAGGTAACAGAGCAAGACTCTGTCTCAACAGTAACAAAAAAGAATAAAATTGTGAGATTTTACACATAGTTAAAATATTTATTTATTTATTTATTTATTTGGAGACAGAGTCTCATTTTGTCACCCTTGGTAAAATGCTATGGCGTCACAGCTCACAGCAACCTCAAACTCTTGGGCCCAAGTAATTCTCTTGCCTCAGCCTCCCAAGTAGCTGGGACTACAGGCCCCCAACACAACGCCCGGCTATTTCTTTGTTGTCATTGTCATTGTTGTTTAGCTGGCCCAGGGCGGATTTGAACCCACCAGCCTTGGTGTATGTGACCAGCGCCGTAACCATTGTGCTACAGGTGACGAGCCTATAACATATTTTATATACACACATCTATCCCATTTACTAAAAAGACAACCATATTTTGAAATACAGTAGAACCTCTGTAAGTTGACTACCCAAGGTACTGTAACAAACTAGTCAATAAACAGAGATGGTCAACATAAGATACTATGCCTACTGTGCTGGTAAATATACATAATGCAGGTCTGATCTATGAAAATTAGTTAACTTAAGGAAGTGGTCAATGTAGGGAGGTCATCAACTAGGGAGTTTTACTATATGTGTCTAGTATATGCATATATCTGTACATAAAGATATAAGAGTAGAAAAGACTCAAAAGCTTTAAGGTTGTTAGAACCTTTATTCTTTTTTTTTTTTTTTTTTTTTGAGACCGAGTCTTACTTTGCCGCCCTTGGTACAGTGCCATGGCATCATAACTCACAGCAACTTCAAACTCTTAGACTCAAGTGATTCTCTTGCCTCAGCCTCCCAAGAAGCTGGGATTACGGGCACCACAACATCCAGCTATTTTTAGAGAAAGGGTCTCACTCTTGCTCAGGCTGGTCTCCAACCTGTGAGCTCAGGCAATTCACCTGTCTCAGCCTCCCAAAGTGCTAGGATTGCAGGTGTGAGCCACAACGCCTGGCCAACCTTTTTTATTTTTAAAAACAGGGTCCTGTTCTGTTACCCAGGCTGTAGTGTAGTGGTGCAATAATGGCTCACTGCAACCTTGAACTCATGCGATGAAGCAATCCTTCCACCTCAGCCTCCCAAGTAGATGAGACTATAGGTGTACTGGGTCTGGCTCTGTTGCCCAGAGGCTGGTCTCAAACTCCTGAGCTCAAGCAATCCTCCAATCCACCAAAAGGGATGGGATTATAGGTATGAGACACCAAGCCTTACAATTATTAACATAGTTAAATCTAAGGAGTGGAATTTTTAGAGTAGGGGGAGTTTTATTTTTCATTTTAATTTCTTATAAACTTGAAAGTATTAAGTACACATTTCTCCTATAATTAAAAAATTTTAAATGTTTCCTTTATTTTTTTTTTTTTTTTTGAGATGGAGCCTCAAGCTATCCCCCCGGGTAGAGTACCATGGCATCACAGCTCATAGCAACCTCCAACTCCTGGGCTCAAGCGAGTCTCCTCCCTCAGCCTCCCAAGTAGCTGGGACTACAGGCGCCCGCCACAACACCTGGCCATTTTTTGGTTGCAGCCATCATTGTTGTTTGGCAGGCCCGGGCTAGGGATTCGAACCCGCCACCTTAGGTGTATGTGGCTGGCGCCTTAGCCGCTTGAGCCACAGGCGCCGAGCCTAAATGTTTCCTTTAAACAGAAGAATGACTATTCCACTTATAGGCCCTTTTCTAGAGTTCCTAAATGGTAAACATTAAACCTAAAAAGTATACATTTGCTTCAATATTACCTTTTCTATGAAAGTTATCTCTGAAATTAAATTTCAAAATTTGGACTTTTTAATGGTTCCATTACCAGATTCCTGTATCAAATTCAAAATTAAGCCAAGATGACACACAAAAATTACTAACAGCCCCATGTTAAACAACTTCCTCCTCCTACATACTCTCAGTTTTTCAACAATCCAGTAAAACATGGTTGTTTTCCCTTCTTTCACTAATTTCCTATACAAACAGGCAATACCTACAAGTTTTTCAGTTAATCAGCCTCATAAAAACTTTTCCCATAATTACCCTGCATCAGAATTCTTACCGGTTCTCCTGGTAAACTTTCTGGAACAGGCTGAGCCACTGGTTCAGGTTTGCCAAGAACTCGGTAAATAGAGCGTTTGGTTTGTGTCCTACGAAGTAATCTTTCTTTGTCCAACAGAATATGATCGATCTGAGTCAAGATTGAGCGTTCAAAGGCACCAAAACCCTGCAACAACAAGAACCAGTGATAATGCTGAAAGCCTGTGTTGAAGGCAGCTCCATTGGTTTCATCACCTTTCTGTGTCAGTAGAGAAATATAGATAATTGTCTTTTCAGGAGAGACTTTCTGTTAAGGACTAAGTTTGTGAATGCCTATAATTGTTCTCAGGAAAAAAAATTAGTCCTAAGCAGGTCATACCACATTCCTATGCCCAGAAATTAACTTCTGCTATTTTAACAATTGTCTTATCAATAAAATACATTTTACAGCATTTTGTATTTTCAATACTTGAATACTATAAGGCCTCAATTTCAAGAAAGCACCTTCCTCATAAAGCTAAAATTCCAAGTCTGAATGGTATAAACCCCAGTGACAGAAGTTCAGTACATTTTGATACAGAAATATGTGTTACACATTATAGCTTAAAAACATCCATATAAACAAGCTACAGTTCCAACATTTTAAAACTACTTTGGGTCTACACAGCCTAGCTCACACATGCATATACACACACTTGCCTTCCCCAGTTTTCCAGAAGCCAGCTTGGTTTTATCGTGCCACTTCTGAAGTGTGCGGTTCCTGTAGGCTGTAAAATCAGCAAAACGCTTTGCCATGAAGCTGGGGTACTCAGCCACCTCCAGCTTCCTCTTAGGTGGGCCCCTTCTCTGCTGCTGCTTCTCTTCTATTGGCTCATCATCTTCACTAGAAATCTCCTCACTGGAAAATAAATAAGAACACTAAGTCCAGTGTAAATAAACATTACTTAAATAAAAAATTACATTCACATGAAGTAGAGAATGTTTACACCCTACTCGGTCTGTCTATATTTAAAATATCCCCAAAGATTAGATTTTTTTTTATTGTCTGAAAAGAATGCTCATAAGATTAAAAACTGACGTAACTTTTCAAATAAATATAAAAATAACCAGTTTAAAAACATTTTTAAAAAGGTAGGGAAGCCATAAAAATAAATGAAGCTGTAAAATATTATTAGAAATGCATACGAACCAGGCTTGGCCTATTGTATGAGGGTCATTAAAAATTAAACATATAATCATATTTCTTTGACCTTAATCCACAAATCAATAAGGGAAATGTGTCTCTCTGTAACCAATTATTCTAGAAAGATGAATAATACTAGTTGAACCAAACAGAAGTGGAACATGAAGAAAACTTAAAGGGGTAGCTAAGCTGCAATGCTGTAAAGGTAACTGCCACAAGAATGTAACACAACTCCCAACTATATAGCCAATGGCATGCACTGGATTCTGACCCAAACAAATAATAGGTGCTCAATAAATGCAAGTTTTCTTCTTGCCCTTCTAATTAATTTGGTCAAAAAATAAAGCAAAGGAAAAAGAGCAGGCACAAAGGGGGGGGGGGAACCTTCGTCAAATGTAATAATTTCAGAAAAGAAAGTTATTTCAAAATAACAGCTTCTTCCTCCACTGAAAAGGAGATGGTTACAATTAGTGATTCCATAGTATGAGCACAATCATTTCATAAACATTAATTTCAATAGATCTGAACCCACATCTATTACCTAAGCTCACAAAGCAAACTAGGTACAACTAAATATTGAAATTCAAAATCTAATTCCAAATTTATGTGCCATCCTCACCACCAGGTAAATGTAAGTGGCTCTTTCTATTTTACTAACATTCAAGTCTGACATCTACCTGAAAAGCACTTGGCTTTCTCTTTCATAAATGATGAGAAACTGTCTGAAATGGTAAGATAATATGCAACTCCACAGTTCCCTTCCCTCCTTACCTTTCTGCTTTGGGCTTTGTTCCATCCACTAGATATCTAGTATCTGGATATTGAAAAAGTAACTCTTCCTGCAGATCAACCAATGACCTCAACAATGCTTTAAGTGCCTTGTGACCTAGGAAATAAACCACAGGGAAAGGACAATTAATTATCTACAATTTTCCAAAGTAGGTGATGCCTATAACTCAAGACCCCTAACAGTTCTGGCTGAGGGGGGTGAAGTAGAAAGAGAAGGACAGGGGTGAAGGGAGAGGTGCAGGATACCCAGGAACCGAAAAGCAAAAACTCTCTGAAATATATAATTCCCAAATGGATAAAACAATAGCGCCTACCTCATAGGATTGTTTGTAAGGAATAAGATCATATGTAAGATGCTTAGAAAAGTGTCTACAAATAGTAAGAGTTCAATATTCAGTTCTTAAATGTGTGAAGTATGGCAAACTCCTTCCTGCCCGTCATCATAACTATGCATTTGTTCTGTTGGTGTTAAGTTTCTTGGGGATCTTGCTACAGGTTACCTAACAACCTCATGGATTATCCCTCTATCAATCAGCTGCTTAAGCAATTCCTCTTCTCCCAAAGAGCACAACTAAGACCTGGGATCCCTGTTACCACACCTCCTCCTCTACCAGGAGATCTCATCTGCAGCACGTGTGAGTTCATTCATCACTCACTTAATCTCTCAACACGTATTCTTAAGCAAAGTTCCTGTTTATGTATAAAAACTCACATTGATTATCTTCTATTTGCAGCATTAAATTGTATATTTAAAATCTGTACAGCTTGGGAATGACCATTAAAACAAAAATTAAAAAAAAAATTTGTACATCAAAAATATGCATTGTAACATAACTTATGATTAAGTTAACCTGTGAGTAAAAACTTTTAGAATAAAAACTAGCTCTTCTGCGAATTAAACTCTTGCCTTCTCTATCAGAATAATCCTACTAAAGAGGCTAACTAGACACTGATAATCACCATTTGTATGTTGGGAGCACTCAAGACACCTCTCTTAAAACCAAACTTTCACATTTCCAGCAACTGCCAATCTTCACAGGGCTGCTCCATTACTCCTTCACACACACAGGTCAGAAATAGAACTTTTTTCTTCCTACCTAATACTTCTCCCTTGTCTGAATTTATCTGCTCTGTCTAATGCGTTTTCATAGAGACTGCTGCTCTTATTCTACACATTTAATTGGTTGCTAAATCTTTATTGTCTACTCTAGTATTACTAGTAATTGCCCATTTATCTTTGGCCATCCTTCTATCACTCCTGCCCTTACTTAACTGTAATCCTCTCACAGCAGCCCTTTTTCTATTCAGCAATCCTTATATTCCTTTTTATTTTACATTCCACACAAACTTCAGCCCACACAAACTTCGGTTAAATGATTTTTACAGATCTTATTCTATCTGTCTTTTCTGCTTTTACCCACCCCACATGAAGAGCCTTCTATTTTACATTCCAACATGTATCACCAATGGGACACCAACACGTGGGTTTTCAAGACAAGTTCTCCACGTATTTTACACTACAGATTCTATTTCAACATACATAAGGCTAAGAACTACCTGAGAGAGCCTTCTCAGATTCATCAGAAGGGACTCAATGATCCAACAACTATTCTCCATTCTTTCAAACAATTTCTATATAACTTATTGAAAATAAGATATGTGATCATATCTTTTCTGAATTCTAAACTCTAATCCTTTTACGACTAGTCTATATCATGCCACTTAGGAGGATTTATAATATATAAATATTACCTGCAGAAATCCAAAATGGCTTATGTTTCAAACCAAGATTCTCAACCTATTAAGATTGCTCTTAATCTTAAAAAAAAAAAAAAAGGCTCGGTGCCTGTGGCTCTAGCGGCTAGGGCGCTAGCCACATACACCTGAGGTGGCGGGTTCGAATCCAGCCTGGACCTGCCAAACAACAACGATGGCTGCAACCAAAAAAT